AAAAAAAAAAAAAAAAAAAAGAATCTGTACTTTCCAGCTAATTCTGCTACGTAGTCAGCTTTTTGAATCACTTGTAGGTCAAAGAGATTCAAGAAACATTGTTTACATAACCTAAGATTAACAAAGGGTTTGAAGGGGCACTAAGAATGTAGAGTGTTTCTTGAATAATGTAAGCAAAGGGTGAAGGGATATCTCTAAATTTGTTGAGAAAAATTTAAGATGTGTTTTGCTTGCCCATGATTATTTCTAGGCTGGGTGTATGGTCGTGTTTAGATTGTTTTCCCATTGACGTGGCTTCGTTCCCATCTTGACAACATTTGTATTTTTAAATCTTTGGCAGGACCGTCTTATTGCTCTTGATGCAGCAGAAGAGTTCTTTAAAATTGCCAGTCGAACTTATCCCAAGAAACCTGGGGTCCCAAACCTGGCAGATGGCCAGAAAGAACTGCACTACCTTCCATTTCCAAGTCCCTAAAGGAGAGGCTGGGATTCCCCACGGGGACACAACAGCCAGCCCAAGTGGGACAAATGCATACAGGAGACTGTAAGCACGTGGAGGGCCAGTTAAGTGAAAAATGATTCTAAATCCTATAAAAAACTAGGGGTTTGGATATCTGGTCTTCATGAGGATGCCACTGTAGGAAAAGTTCAGGTTGCATTGAAACAGCCTGGTGATCTTGCATCAGGGAGTTAGGGTGATATTTCCTCATGGGGGATTGGATTTCAAGAGCCCATTGTCCCCATTTGGGTTTTGGTTGTACAATAAACTCTTGTCACTAAGCCTATTGGGGGAATGGGGTGCTCTAGTTAGGAAAACAATAAGATTGATAGAGCTATTGTTGAGCCCAAATATGGATTACTGAATTTTAAATAATTATTATATAATATAGGCTAATGCCAAAATAACGTCAGGCATTATGTGACCTTTCTTGGATTTGGAAGATCCTCCAGGACCTTGGAGGTGTCAGAGGCATCATTTTGAATATGAGTTATGTATTCAGAAGTTTAGATACGGTAGATGATGGGAATATCTAAGAGTGCTGCTCAGAAGGGAGTTCCAAATAGATCGATCCCAGGCAGAGCTTCCTTCAGCTCTGTCTTCAGTTGTGGGACACGCGTCTTAAATTCTAAATATTAGCAATACCTGGTTACCTCATTTTTGCATACTATCCATTTCTAGACCCCAAGCCCTTGATATTTTATCTGGAATAGCATCTGTACACTGGAATGTTTGACCTCCACTTCCTTCTCTTCTCTTTAATCTGTTTCTGGCGTCTTGGCTGAGAGTTGTACCTGCCCAGTGACCTTTAGCACAGACTTGTGTCTCTGCGTCTGCAGGCAATATTGCACGGAAGAAGGTCATTGCTGTACTTTCTTCCATTCAGAAGAGGATTTCCAAGATGGAGCAGTGCTGAATTACAGCTTGCTTCTAGCCACAGACTGAGAAGTCCAGCCTCAAAAGTTACTTGCCACTTAAGCAAGGAGGTTGCCAGGAAATCATGGTTCATGTTATTGAAAAGACTTTCAGAACCTGTAGGATTTACCCATAGATTGCTGAGAACAATGGCGATATTTTTACTTTTACAGACTTTGCTCTTCTAACTTCAGGTGAAAAGGAACTTGAATTAGTCTGTCCAGGGGATCATGACTTGAAAACTTTCTGATTAGCTCTTTCGGTAGTGCACACGACGTTTGAAGTATCTGTTAGAGGAGACACACGTTCTCCATTTATTAATGCATTGTAGACCAGATTAACTGACATGTTTCAGGAAGATTCTTTCTAGTTTAGCAAGTAAGCTAAAAGTTTTATTTTTTATATTTAATGCTTAATCTCTCTCTTGTGTTGTTTAAAATTAGCCTGCAGATAATTTCCCTCACTTCTGTAGGCTCTCGCGAGATAAACATATAAACAGTGAAATAAACAAATAAAAACAAAAATGAACAAAAATCTTTGAAAATTGTATTGTTTTCATTTCTGTCCTCATAATTTGTGTTTTGCCCTTCTGCCTTTTTTGATGAGATGTTTGCATCTATGAAGAATACATTGTCATCATTGTCTTTGTTTTTGGTAATGAATAAGGATGAGAATGTACCAATGATTATGAAAAACATGGAGTTATCCAGGAAATTTTCCTTGGAAGGAATTAAAAAGGTTTTCTGTTTACTTTTCAGTTGGATGTGTGTTATAGTTCCAAGAAATAAGGAACAGATAATTCTTTCCATAATCCCTTTAAATTAAAGGGTAAAGAAACTGATAGGCAAATGGATTTAAGGACCTTCCCTCATCCTAAAGTCATTCAAAGGGGCAGATCTGTGCTCAAGTCTAGGGGACATCGAAGTACATGACAGGCTCAAGGGTGACTGAGGTAGCGTTCCGGAACTTACACGGTGTTCAGCAGGACCCAGATCCACAGATGTGCAGGTGGCTGGAGGGTTTTCCTACTGTTGAAATGTCTCCCTGTTGGCCAGTGTAGTACTTCTCAAATGTTCATCTGTGTATGTACAGTGATTTAAGGTGGTAGATGAGTGGGAATTTCCACATTAAAAGTTATTTATTTTAATGTGCACCAGAGGGAAATCTCTGTAATTTGCACATCAGGAATTGATGGATATCCTGTTTAATGGATATTCTTGTAGTAAACAATAAAGTATTTATGCTTCCTTAAAGGTGGAAGGCCACCCAGGAAACCACAGTGGACATACTGACCATGGTGAGGGGGCACCAGCATCACTGAGAAGCTCAGTGGTAGGCCTGTAGTCCAGATGCTGTTCCAGAAGTGGGCTCACTGATAGCAACGGGGATGGATGAAGAGGGGCCTGGTGGCACAGAAGTGAAGTGTGCACAATTACCATAATGAGAGGCCAGGTCGGAGAGGTACCTGCAGAGAGGGTTGGAGATGGTTAATAGAACATAATGTCCCTACAGGCAGAACAGATGGGTAGCCAATAAGAATATTGCTCAACCTATGCCATCAAAAGAGCTCAAGGATGGATGACCCAGAGATAGGTAGGGCACAGCTAACCCCAACAAAAAGTTCTGATCTCTTGCCAAGTTTCCAGACCTTGGCTATCTTCCAGACCAAAAACTACTGACTGAAGGAAAGTCTGGATCCCCAAGAAGGGGGACTTTGCAACTCCAAGTATATATGGCATTGTTTCCCCTAGTCCTTCCTCAAAGGGACCTGTGGTTATTTACCTAGATTTACTGTACACCGGGGAAGGAAGTGTACAAAAACACTCTGAGGGTGTGGGACACAACGTGCAAGATGACACTGACGCTCAGGGACTAGAGTATCATAATAGTGTGCTTTTTAGAATGGGGGCATATGGGATTTATAGAGTCCTATCTTAGGTCTAGCCCACAGTAGGTCCATTGATTCCATGGATCTATCTCTCCACTTCCAGAATAAGTTATTGGGTTGAATGTATTTGGGACTTGGCAAGACCACCATTAATTTCTTGGTCTGTGGGTTAAAAACTAATGTATTAGTAGGAAAGCTTAGTAGAGGCCTCTGAAACTACTCCATCCCCTGGCCAAAATAGTAAACCCAAATCAATATTGCATCCCTGGGAAATGGCAGAGGTTAGTACTACCCGTAAAGACCTAAAGGTTTCTAGAGTGTTGGTCTTGACCACAACTCCATTTAATTTACCATACTAGCCCTTATGAAAACTAGATGGATTCCAGAGAATGAAAGTGGAGTATTGAAGACTCAATCACGTGGTTGCCCTAATTGTAGCTGCTGAGCTGGATGTGGAATCTTTGTAAGAACAAATTAACACAGACTCAGCTACCTGGAATGTGGCCATTGATCTGGCAAATATGTTCTTTCCACACTCATCACAAAAGCAGATCAGAAAGAGTTTGCATTCATTTGAGATGGACAACAGTATACATTTATGGACTTGCTCTAGAGCTAGAGTGTCCCACCCTCTGTTATAATATAATCCAAAGGGACAGATACCATGTGGACATTCTGCAGAATATCACATTGGTCATCTATCTCAATGACATCAGACCTGAGGAGTATGAAGTGGCAAATGCATGGAGGCTTTGGCAAAAGACACGCACTTCAGAGGATGGGAGGTAAATCTTACGAAGTCTCGGGGACCTATCACTTCAGTGAAGGTTTTAGGGGTCCAGTGGTCAGGGGCATTGTTGGAATATCTTCCCCAAAGGAAAGGTCAGTTTATTTCATCTTTCACCTCCCCCTGCTAAGAAGGCAGCAGAATGCCTAGTAGGCCTTTTTATGTTCTCACCTGGAAACACTGTTCCACCCCGTACAGCTGGGTGATGTGAAAAACTTAGACCTCTGAGGGAAGTTTAGGGCAGGAAGAGGCTCCAAAACAGGTCCACGCTACAACCCTGTAGACATCTTTGTTGTTAACAGTCTTGGCATAAGAAAAGATGCCCTGTGGAATTTATGGAAAACTCAATAGGAGAATGACAACACAGACCTCTAAGTTTCTGGGGCATGCCATACCATTTGCAGGTGAGAATTACACATCACTTGAAAAACTCATCATGAGCTGGGTTTTTATCAGACCCACCAAGGTATAAAGTCAAGGTCTAGCAGTAGTCCAATTCTTTCCTTATTATTATTATTGAGAGAGAGAGAATGAGAGGGGGAGGGGTAGAGAGAATCCCAATGAGGGGGCTCGATCTCACGAAACATGGGATAATGACCTGAGCTGAAATCGAGAGTAAGAAGCTTAACTGACTGAGCCACCCAGGCACCCCTTCCTTGTCATTTTTAAAAATAAACTTAGTTTTAGGATACTGTTAGATTTACAGTAAAGTCGCAGATTGTACAATGGTGCTATGTGCCTCACACCAAGGTTCCCCTACTGTTAACACATTACCTTAATGTAGTACATTTGTCACATCTAATGAGCCAATGTTAATACATTCTTATGATTAATTACATAGTTTATTCAGATACTAGTTTTTGCCCAGTGTCTTTTCCTGTCAGGATCCCATGCAGGACGCCGTATTGCATTGAGTCATTATGTCCCTGAGGTTCCTTTTGCCTAAGATAGTTTCTCAGACTTCCCTTCTTTTTGATGGCCTTGGCAGTTTTGAGTTCAGGAATCTAGAAGAGAGAGATGATGAGAAGTGGCAGTGTGGCCTTGAGACCAGCTTCGGACAGTGGGGCTGTGAGTTGTCCAATTAGCCTTCTTCATTTGATTTTCCCCAGCAAGAGAAATGCAGCAGGCTCATGGAGGAGCCTTTCCCAGAACTTGCCATAAAGAACACGTGGATCTGAGCATCACAGGGGTGGACTGTGGCAGAGGATGTGAGCCACTGCTCAGGCCTTGCCCTTTTGGGGGCTGAAATACTCCCTCAGCGGCTGGCAGTACTGGTGCTTAAGCTCTCAGATGAGTCTGTCTCTGGGAATTGCCATAAACTGGTGAGAGCTACCTCTCCCACGGTCCCCCCCCCACCCCCTTTCTGGGAGCACCCTTTGTCCATTG